ATGCACCGATAATATTTTTGGCCGATATCCATAACTGTTGAGATTTAGAGGCTGATAACCGATATATTACAGCCGATAAATATAAATATTTCAAAATTTGATATTTTTATACAGTGAACAGCTGATTTTGTTTTTAAAAACTTGATAAAAGTTTGAACTGATCTTTGAATAGCCTACTCAAAGCAATAAAAGCAATAATTTCAAAATTGTAGGTGATTATATAGACCTATATTTATGATTTCACATAAATTAGCATGCCAAAAATAAATTACTTCCTTTTCTTTGCATAGCAAATTAACATGCAACTTGATTGTTGCATAAAAATAATAGGTTAAATAACAAAACAAGATTTAATTAACAAACAAGTTAAATAAATAGTAAAACGAAAATGAAAGAACACAGAACTGAAAACAGCGCAAATGTTCTTGAATAAACCGTGTTATAGTAATGTACATATGTAGAACTATGCAATGTCCAAAAAAGCATTTTGTGAGGTGTTTTGACAGTTCAGAGCAACAGTACAAGCAAAAAGATAATACAGATAGACAGTATGTTTTACTTTAGAAAATTCGGCATAAATTCGTCCTATTTGGCGTTTTAGATTCTTTTGAACACATAGACGCTTATTGTCAGACGCTTTTATGATCATTTTTGCTGTCAATAAAAAATGTGAGGAAAGCTTCATTATAGTGCACTGGACAGTTTTGACCCACGCATTCTCGAGGCAGGCAGTTCTGTACAATTACGTAATCTATCAGCTTAAAGATATATGCCTAATTTTGATATTGGATCGATAATAATAACATTAAAAATAGCATTTATCGCCCTATAACAATATGGCCACCGATATATCATGCATTCCTAAATGTAGATAAACTATTAATTAATTGAATTTAGAAAAAAGATGTATATATCTTGCCATATATCTTTAAGAATATGTGATGACTTTTATCATGATATATGATTGTCATATCGCCCAGCCATAATTTAAATAATATTTAGGTATGTTTTTTGACTTTTGTATCCACATGACTAACCCATTCCTGCTTTTCCGTCAGGATAGGTGTACACCTGGCCATTGTTTTTGATGATAGGCAAACTGGCAGGGATGCTGGGAACTTCATCTTCAGTGTCCTCCGAGCTGGAGCTGCTACTGCTGTCTTCACTGCAGCTGTCATACCCGTCAAACATCCCGAACGAATCTCTCCTCTTCCGCTCTGAGCGGGGAGTGTGCTCAGCCTACATGTGACGAGGTGAGACAAAAAAAATGGAGAATATTAAAAAGAGAGAGAGAGAAGGAAGGAGTAATGTTAAATTAAAGTAAGGGCAAAGAAAGACAAAAGGATTACAGCTCTCTTGCACAACCATAATACTTTAATAAATGACCACCTTTGACATGATACACCATGATTAATATTGTAACTAGTAATAACCACAATCTTTAAAAGAGGGAATTAGGAGGCGGCTCAAATCACATTATTAAAATTAAAGGCTTCCAAGGGTCACAAGAAGCAAGTATCATGTACAAAGCACTAAATATTCTACAGTTATCTCAAGCCAGAATATAAAAGGCACATATATATATATATATATATATATATATATATATATATATATATATATATATATATATATATATATATAATTTAAATTTGCTGCATTTTGAGAAATTACATATTTATATTCATCAATACTTCAACACTAGACTGTAGAAGGACTCCAATACACTGTGACCTGATTTCAGAATGAACATTTTGGGACCTTTTCTTCCCCTGAAAGAGTACCATTTCAATTCTCATTTCCTAACTTTCAATTTTACCACAAATGAATGCTGTTATTATCCCTATTAACTACAAGTGAATGATTTTAGGTCATATTACAAGCCCTCATAACACAAACAGGCACATACGCTTATCTTAAGCCCTAGTAAGCTGCCTGCTCGTACATAACAGCTCGTGAAAACGTTTTCAACGCATATGCGAGCCTCGTAAAAACTGTGTGTTGGGAAACAAACACAAACATTTCCACATTCATTGGCCTGCGGGTCTATTGCAGCAGCACAAAACATATACATTACCAACTGTATTAGCACCATTTAATAAGACAGCTTATTTGAATGAAATGTTATATGGCATAGAAAGAATTACGAGTGATTCGAATGAGGTAAACGCTGTAGTTTGTGTGACGAGCAGGATCTGTTTCTGACAACCAAAACAAAGAGGACGGCTAACTGCTAAGCCGCTAACTGAGCTAAATCAAGGAAGCGGGCTCAAATAAACTCTTTCTTACCATATCCCTTGGGTTTTCCATTAGCCCTTCATGCAAGTCGGTATCTTACGTTCGTTGTGGTATGATCCGACAGCCCCCCGGAGGGAAAGGGCCTGGCTTGAAATTATTTTACTCTATAGCAAAAAATAACTCCAGTTGATTATCAACAATTGTCATGGCTCGAGAGTGCGCGTGCGCAGGGATCTACAATGATTGACATATGTTTTAGCCAATCACCGTTCACGTGTTCGGCACATTTACCCCATATTTGGTCACAGGAAATGTTTGAGTGAGGGAGAATGATTACAGATCAAATAAAATCGGATTTAGTGGTGGGAATAGCAGATTTATTGACCCTAACATTAAAATAGAATGTTTACGGTCATAGCTTAAAGGCAATATAATTTAACAGGTTGTAACAATGGTAGCGACGATAAATGTAAACAGATATTTGTTACAGAAATGCTAAGATTCCTGTAGGATGTAAAATTCATGGTATTGCTTTCTTCTACCAGAAACGTACATTATCTGTCTCTGAAATATAAATATAAACATAAATACAGTGGATAAAAGTATTTCATCCCACAAATGTCTAAAATGAACTGATGGTTGATTTCTGTGAGTTGTTCTGTAAATGAATGTCATTCTTGTCAGATTATTTTTCTTTATTAAAAACACTTTACAAATGTACAAACCCTGTCATTGTCCTTGTACTCAGCTCAATTTAACCTACAGCTTTAACAGTTTTGTTATGCTAAAAACTGTTATTTAAAAGTTTAAGCTGTGATCATTCACATCAATTGATTTAAAAAAAACATGAAATTATAAATTCAACAAATACATACTACAAATATTATGAATCAAAGAAATGTACAATTGTCCCCATGTTTCTGTCAGTCCAGTCACATCTGCATCAACATAAAATTCCTTTAATGCTATGACATCGAAAGTGACATCATCTGATGGAGGAGAAGCTGAGTGCAATCAAGGACGCGTTCCATCATTGAATTCTTATGATTTTATACTTGTTTTGTATGAATTTTTTGAGGGCGACAAGCTTGACAAGCCCAGTCACATTTTTATAAGTGAATTTTTCTAAGCATGATAGTTTTATTAACTCATTTTATTTTATCTTTGCCATGATGACAGTAAATAATATTTTGCTTGATGTTTTTCAGGACACTTCTAAGTGACATTTAAAGGCTTAACTAGGTTAATAAGGTGAACTAGGCAGGTTAGGGTAATTAGGCAAGTTATTGTATAATGATGGTTTGTTCTGTACGCTGAGAAAAAAATTAGCTTAAAGAGGCTTATAATTTTGTCCCAAAAATGGAAAATAAGACTTTTTCCAAAAGAAAAAATATTATCAGACACACTGTAAAAATTTCCTTGCTCTGTTAAACATCATTTGGAAAATATTTAAAAAAGAAAAAAAAATCAAAAGGGGGCTAATAATTCTAACTTCAACTGTATATCATGGCCCTCATATGTATTTCTTTTCTAACATTGAAATTGCTGTTACTATGTAAAGAATTTAAATAAAGTAATACACAGTGAAGCAGTGAATTAGGATATATTACATATGTTTAAACTTAGCAAGCCCAAATACATTTTATGAAATTTTAAAATGCATAACAATCACTCCCAAAAAAGGTTTAGTCTGCAATTTTCTGTACACATAAGGACCCCATTATTATTCTATTTATCGCTGTATGTTCCTATAAAATAGAGCTAAATCTTCTTTTTGGCAGCAAATTTTCCTCTTGTTGTCTGCTATTATTGTTGATATTCCACCTTGTCCAATTATTTATTTATTGGGGTTCTCCCACCCGGCCCTCTCATTTGGTAGACTTTATAGCCTCTTACCCTTCTGGCTAGGCAATTAATTCTTCTGAATTGGATGAGCCCTTACCCCCCTTCTCGCACTTGTTGGATAAGAAATGTTCTTTATTTTATGAAGTTGAAGAAAATTAGGTAACCTCTTCACCGACCTAACACTATATTCATTAAATCGTGGGAACCCCTTCACAAATATTTCCAAACTCTTCAGCTTGACCCTGCTCCTTCTGATTGAGTCCCCACCCCCCAACTCGGTACTGGATACTAGCTCTGTGCAGGGCATTGTAGACTTTTTTTTTCTGTATGTAGGATTGTCTAGTGTTTTTTGATTTATTTTTTTATTTTATTTATTTATTTTCTCAAAATTCTCTTCAGTTTATTTGCCTATTGTGACACGTTTATGTTGTCCTTATTGTATATTTTTGTTATGTGCTTTACAATGTATAAAATATTAAAAATATATAATTATTATACACATACACACACACACAACCTATCTCTAACTTTAGTATCCATCTCTCTATGATTAAACAAAACGTTATAGCCCACAATAAAAAAAATATTTTACACAAAAAACCAAGAAGTTTAATCAATAATTTTGTACATGAAGCTGACTGCCTTGATATTATTTATGTGCTTGGTGTTAAATTATTAATTCAGTTATTAATGTACTCCACAATGGTTGCGGTTAGTCTGTTTCCTTTAAATACAATGAAAGAGATATCATCCATGTTTCCTGCATTGTTGTCAGTGCCTGCTGATTTCACTTTACCCATAACATCTTGCATAATTTACAGCAGCTTTTGTATAACTGTACTTCTATTTTAAATAGAACTGAAACATATCCATTTTCCCCAATCCTTTTATAGCGACACAAAACAAAAAGTAGAATATGAAGTATAATAATAGTCTTTATTTAACTGTATACTCATATATACCATAGCATTTAATGTAATAAATCTCAATGCACAACATAAATAATATTGACAGAAAATGAGAGTACAAAAATATAACCCATTAACAAAACTAAACCATCATGTTACCAAAGAAAACCAAAGGAACTTTGGTGCTACAATGCAACAATACTGAGTTTCACCAACTCAATTCTGAGTTCCCTGAGCTCTGCTCTTTAACCATCCATCCTCTGACACTCAATAAAAACAGTTTAATACGTAACTGAGGTGAACACAATGGGAACAAAAGTGTAAACTGTGAAAAACAACAGATGTAACAAAACATTATAAACTATGAAACCCACTGTTCATAAGAACGAATGCAGTAAATACAGGCAGCCTGAGCGAGTGACGTCATCAAGTAAGGCTCTTTCTCAGAGACGGGAAGCATGTGCTGAATGAGGAGAAGAACTGGTCGCTGAAGAAACAGTGACATCATTAGATCAATCCTCTCCTCTTAAACAGAATATTATAAACAAACATCAAAACAATATCTGTGAGATTCTACTGATGTTCCCTTACCAATATCAAGGCATACACGTCTTTGGTCTTGTCAGTTGAACTCCTCATCTATAGTGTCATCCACACTTCCGGAAATAGAGGCAACTTCTGAGAGAACAGCAGGGAAGAAAAGATTAAGGAAAAAAGCTACAGAGTAGAGCTCACAGTTTGACTATATATAACTCAAAAGGCACTGGAAGTTTTTTTTTTACATTTTTTTTTATGAAAGCTAGTATAAGATTGAAAGGCAGTTTTAAGTGCGATGGGCTACAATGTGCCTTTAAACTGTAAATAAGATGTAAAGTGTTTATCTAGCATTAATATTTCTTATTTTTGCATTTAAGTGCTTCAAACACTAAATTAAATGTAATCTTAAAATGGAAATAAAATAGGTTTTAAAATATTAAACTATAAAAATAAGTACAAAAACAATTGCTAATTCAAATTATGCTTTATTTTTTACCACATCTGTGCTAAAAAATTATGAAAGCTGAAAAGTAAAAATTTAAGAAAAAAATCTGAAAAAGGTCAAATGTGATTGGGTGTGCAATCCCTAATTTTTAGGCTTACTTAAAAATGTCCTTGGCTTGCAGCACATTTAAATCAACACTTAAAGGGATAGTTCACCCAAAAATGAAAATATACTGTTAATTTATGAGTTTATGTAAAAAAAAAAAAAATTACTGGATGAACTTAATAATAATAATAATAATAATGATAATAATAATAATAATAATAATAATAATAATAATAATAATAATTCCTTACATTTATATATCGCTTTTCTGGACACTCAAAACACTTTACACATTTTGGTGGGAATCTCTTCATCCACCACCAGTGTGCAGCATCCACCAGAATGACACGACAGCAGCCATACTGCACACCAGCTGATTGGTGGAGAGGAGACAGAGTGATGAAGCCAATTATGATATGGGGACGGTTAGGAGGCCAAGATGGACAGAGGGCAGGGGACAAATTTGGCCAGGATGGCGGGGTTAAACCTTTAAAGCTGATTTATACTTCTGCGTCAAACGCATGCATATGCTCCGGCGCAGCCTTTGCGCAGCCCCATACTCCTCGCCGTGGTCATCACAGACGCTGACGAGCACTTCTCAAAAAATGTAACTACATGTCACAACGACGCGTAGCAGAAGCTCTGTTATTGGTCGGCTTGGAAGCGCTGACGAGTGTGGGCGGGGGTGAGAGCCGCGCGAGCTCATTGGAGTGAGTGTTTACAAGTCCCATAAAGAAGCTTCAAATGTAAACTGGTGTTTTGTGTTTGCCTTATGATTAAAGATGTTGCACGTCCGCCGGTTCCCACCTCTGAATGAGCAAGTTTTAGCTACTTGTACATTAAGGTAGAGTTCAGAAAAAATAAAACACCCTCGAAGAAACACGACAGAGATGAACATAAAAACCTACTGCTAGCTAGCGTTTCGGAATTGTTATTGAAGAGCAACACAAACAGCACACATTAGTATAAATGCTCACGCCAATCACTCGACGCACAAGTATAAACCAGCCGTTACTCTTTTTTCAAGGGACTTTTAACGACCACAGAGAGTCAGGACCTCGGTTTAACATCCTATCTGAAAGACAGCGCTCACTGAGCAGTCTAGAGTCCCCATCAATATACTGAGGCGTTAGGACTCAAACAGACAGCGCCCCATGTGGTCTCCCATCCAGATACTAACTGGGTGCAGCCCTGCTTAACAGAGTTGCAGAGAGCTAGTTGCCAACTATCCCACTCAAGTATATATATATATTTTTTGTGAATAGAGTTATTAAATATAGAAGTATTTTTATGCGACATGACTTGCATTTGAACAAGCAGTTTCGGCTAAAAATCTTAATAATCAAAAAAAGAAAAGAAACCACATACTTTTTGGGAAAGCCTGGAGTAAAGTAAATAAATTTAACAAAATTTTCAATGGAATGAATTATCCTTTTTAATACATTTACAAAGTTAAAATATCCTGCAATAATTTGCTAACTTTTGCTAGCAATGTTTGCTAAAATGAAAGTATTTTGAAGCCCACATTAAAGCCCAGAGCCATGTGTTGTGTAGATAAAGTCCCAGTTGTGCTCGGTCGCATTAGTAAGGTGCCAGTGAAAAACCAGTCACATCCCAAATCAATCCAACGTGCTCCACAATACCACCAAATTATTCATAAAATCTCCACCTCTGGTTGACTCGTCTCCATTTTCTCCCGTATTACTTTTTAAACCCCTGTTTTTTAGTCCACTTCCTCTTCTTCCACTTCCAGCTTTATTAGACAACACATCTTCATTGAAGTCTGTCGTCTGGCATCTCACATCACATTTCAGTGGATCTGATTCCTCTAAATATCCTGCAGTCTCAGACTCATGTTCACGCTCTTCAGAAATGTTAACAAATTCACTCCCAGAGCTGCTACTGTCACTCAGTGTGATAATCTCTAGATCTGAAGTCTGATTATCTGTTCTGAGCGCTATTTTAGCATCTTCAACGCTCCTGGATGAGTCTGAACTCAGCTCAATCACAGACCCAGAGGACGCATCGCTCTCCTCACAGGCCTCAGTCGAGTAAGAGGAAGATGTAGTGGATGAATGAGGCATGGTGGTGCTGAGAGACGCTTCAGACGAGTCTCTAGAGGAAGTGAGGTAATACCACACCCCCCTAATACCATCACTGCTGTTGCTGCTCTCTGTATTCTCACTGTGAGTCTCCAGCGTATAAGACGAACCCGTCTCTTCTGACGCGCTGGACGTCGTCTTCTCGTTTCTGCCGTAATAATGGGATCCGAGGAAGACTTCATCGTTGAGAGTGAATGAATCGAGCGCTGATGTCACAGTCTCCACGTAGAACGGAGAGGAAAATGAAGATGAGATTTCCAGCTGATGTAATGGCGATGCTGGAGTTAAGCTGTTGGATTGGACTGGAGGGTCTTGCATGGATGAAGACGTCTCAAGGATTTGGCTGACCAGGTCACTCAAGTTTTGAGATGGAGTGGAGTGGATCAGGGAGTAGGAAGACATGAGTTTAAAAGTTGAGTTCTGGTCCACATCGGCTCGCTCCAACTCTATAGAGCTCGAGAGACGTGAAGAGCCTTCCAGCTGATCGTTTACCCATGGTGAACCTTCACATATGCCACCGCAACAACTGGTTAAACACTCAACTCAAACACACTACTGTTACTGACTTAAAAAATAAATAACAACTGAAATTTTTGAAAAAATCTCTTATTAGTTGCATTTACGGAATCAAAAAGAAACTAAAAAGTATTTAAAAATAGCTAAAAAACAATAAAATTGTGAAATTTTCCTATGTGACTATTGTAAAACGTAATTTATTCTAGGGATGGCAAAGATAATTTTTTTTAACCATCATTAGCATCGCTTTTTAGCATCTTCAGTGACACATGACCTTATATAATTGATAATTTAGTGCCCAAGAAACATTAGCCCATTTCACACATACAGACATTTCTGGATAATTACCTGCAATTTTCCGGAAAGGTCTGTATGTGTGAACAGGCCCTTTTTGAAAATACTGGTAAATTGGCTATTTTCTGGAAAGAGAAGTTGCAACATTAGTGGTAATTTGCCGAAATGCTGCGCAGTGTGAACGCAGAAAGAAGACTGCTAGAAACAGCACGTTCATGTCGAGAATGTGCTGACGTGAGACGTCTACTTTAGCCAATTAGAACACTCAGACTCATTCACATCTGCGCGGTTTAGGAGAATAAAAGCCTTTGAATATTTTTCCAGACACATTTAGCTGCTAGATGTTAGTCAGATAACGTTTCTGTGCTACTTCTTAATGTCAACTGTGTGAATAATTATCGATAAGATGCATATGATAAGCCGTTGTTTGTTTACCTTCAAGCTCTGCTTCCTTCAGTTGCTTGATGCGTCGTGTGTGCACATGAAGCAGCCGGTGAGCCCCAGCACACACACATATTATGTACATCTCGACATGCAAAAGTGTTTCTCTATATGTTTTCATCGAAGTTGTTCACAATATTTATCCATCCACAAATTTTGTAATGTAGTCAAATGTTTATAAATACTAGCGCAGCCGTTTAGAGCTCATTTTCTGGGTAATGATGTCAGAATTTACCGGTATTTTGGAATGAATGTGTGAATGGTCTGTTCGGGAAAAATTCTGTAACGGCTTTGCCTGTGTGAACAGCGCTTTTTTTGAATTTAAAGATAAAGCAGTTAGAGAAATTGTCCGGATATTTATCAGTATCACTATGTGAAAAGGGCTATTTATTAATAATATATATATTGATTTTAATCATGGTAGTTAATAACAATTCTGCTACTTAAAATTTTAGTGAATGCTCACTTTTTATGATTCATTGATAACCAAAATACAAAAAAATGTATATATATTTCAAACTGAATTTTTTAAAAATAATAAATATACTGTATGTTGTACCTATTCGCACACACGCAAGCACGCACGGACAAAATTTTTGATACGGTTAAATTTTTTCCTGGCCAGTTTCATTAGCTGCTCTTTTTTTAATGCTTCGGTTGAACCACAATTCAAAAGCTATATCTGATTTACAATCATTAGTTTATTTTCAGTCATTTTTGATTAATTATTACTTTTTCAGTTTCAAGTCATTTCAGTGACCCCTGTGGGTTTTCTATTTTCAATAGAAGATTACCAACAATTTTGTCCACAACTGTATATACATATATAATTACAATAACAATAATAATGTCAACAAATTTCTCTCATGTCATTTAGAGCAAACTTACCTGATAAACTGATGCAGGACATACTGAGTTCTGATGTGGCTCCAGTCATGTCGTCCTGTTAAAATCCAAGCCAAGTTTCCCTTAGTGCTGCTGGAAACTGCATTACACTGTATAACAATTTACACGTATCGTACCAGCATCTTCTGCAGTGATCTGGACTCATCCCAGTCTCCCCTCAGCCCATTTCCTTCATCCTCACAGCTCACAGCATGACCGAGACGAATCAATTCTTTACCGAGATCCACAGCCTGAGACAGAAGAAAAATAACATTTTCTATGCACTGAAGGAGAAAAAACATATATATTAAAAATCTATCTATCTATCTATCTATCTATCTATCTATCTATCTATCTATCTATCTATCTATCTATCTATCTATCTATCTATCTATCTATCTATCTATCTATCTATCTCTCATTTTCATGAAAAAGATTTTGATAAATATTAATTTTTTTTATATTGTGATCTTTTTTATTCTAACATTATTTTCTTTTGACATTTTTAGTATCAGTGCTGTATCAAATCTATGTTTTTCTTTTCATGAAATTTTGTCAAACTTGTCCTGTTTTTGTTGTTTTGTTTGTCACATTTTAATCAACAACTGGAAATTAATTACAATTTTATAGTCTACAATGTCAATGTGATATGAGAATTTGGCACAATTTATTACAAGTCATTACTAAATCCTTTCTGAATAGCATGTTTTATTATTTAACCAACAAACAGATTGAATACAGTGAGTTGTGCTGTTGATCTCTGACCTTTCCCTGGCTGTTGTCATAAAGTTTGACACTAGGCCAGGATGAGATCTCAGAATGAGAGTAGCTGTAGAGTTTAGCCAGTAAAGGTTTCCATTCAGCACAGAATGTCATGCGTTCAAAGTCATCCAGGGCTGCTTCAGTCCAAACCTCTCCTGAAACAAAACCAAATCTTTATGCTCTTAATAAAACCTTACAGATGAACACCTAAACAACACTTTTTATATATTTTTTTCTTTTTTATATTTACCTTCTGGCCGAACCCCTGCAAGACTGCATTCAATGGCTTGAAAAGGCAAGCTCAGGAAGTCACTTCTAAAAACCACAAAATTAATACACAAATCAAAATTAGAACATACAACATATATATATATATATATATGCCTATAGCACTTATTCATTGTTGCTCTTAGTTGTGTAAATTGCTTCCTTGTCCTCATTTGTAAGTCGCTTTGGATAAAAGCGTCTGCTAAATGACTAAATGTAAATGTAAGTAAATATATATATATATATATATATATATATATATATATATATATATATATATATATATATATATATATACTTTAAATCAGATTTAAAGTGCAGATTTCATATGGTCAGATACAGATGAAGTCCTTGTTCCAGCAAACAGACTCTTTACCTTTTTTAATGTTCAAAGGGAAGTATATTATGTGTGATACATATTACACAATTTTAGTTTTAGTTTTAGTTAAACTACATTATTATTTAATTTTTATTTGCTGGTATGCTTTTTATTCATTGTATGTGCTTATGTTGATATTATTTATAAATTTTTTATAATAATTTTTATAAATATTTATTGTAATTTGCCATAAAATTCATTAATAAATTAATAGACCATTGAAAAAATAAACAAATAAATAGACAGACAGACAGACAGACAGACAGACAGAGATGCATTACCTTTTTATTTTCTTTTTTGGCAGAGATTATAAAAACTGGTTGTTGCATACCCTGAATACTAACTAATGTGATTTTATTCATTCATTCATTCATTTTCTTGTCGGCTTAGTCCTTTTATTAATCTGGGGTCGCCTCAGCGAAATGAACCGCCATGTGATTTTATAAGTAATGTAAAAGTTGTTTCGTAATTTTTATTCATGTATCCATTAAACTTTTAATACATTCTTCAATTTCAAACTGTTTTAATTACTGATTACACAATCTTTTACAAGATTCTTTTAAGCAACAATTATGTTTCGCAGTGGATTTGTACTTGTTATCTGTTGGGTGAAGAGGGGGGGTAATTCTTATGATAATCATCTGTTTTCAATTTTAGTTCATCTGGCAAAGAAATGCATTTTGTAATCATGGTCATCTCCTCGGGTACCTTTTTTCAAAATGTTAAGGACTCAAATATCAACACTACTTCCCTTTGAGAAACTCACTTATGCTGCATATCAAAAGCCAAGGCACTTTTGTCAGAAATAAACACATGTTTGTCACAGATGAAAGAACTCCCTTGACTCTTCATTGTATTCTGTTTACCCAAACTACTGGCTGACAAATTCCCCGTTGTTTTATTTGTCCCTATTCATTTTCTTTTCCATTGTTTTTTGTTGTTGTCTATCAGAGGCTATCTTTGTACGTTCATGAACATTGAAGAAACTGACGAAACTACAACAAAAAGCCAAATGATACTGGTATCATTTTAAAAGCATCGATTTGGTCAAACTACTGTAAAAACAAACAACCAAACAAACAAAAAAAAGATACACAATCACAATGGGTCCTTTACATAAATCTGTAATAAGTTTAACGGTCATCAGCATCTTAATGCCTTTAAAGTTTTTAAAATCTTGACTTTTACATTTACATTTATACATTTTACTTTGTAATATCATATTTGCATTCAATGACAGAAAAATGAATTATTGCTTATGTGAGGTGTTTCTAATGCAGCACCGATAGACAGGACAGTACATTTTGTTTTTCTCTATTCTGGCTGCCGTTACGAGTCTCACACATTTTTTTTTCCTTTATGTGAGGGAAGATTTTATTATTAAAGCAAATAGGAATAAAAAAAACTGTATTTGTAGTACTCGCCCATTCACTGCTCTCCAAGTCTACCCAACTATGAGATAACCAGAAATGTGAACAAAAAGTCCATCATCACATTAAAACCCGCCACTTCACCTCTCATGTACCTCATGCTTCGTAAATGTTCCCGAGGAAGCTCCCCGTTGTCCCCAAAGTCCACATAATACAGATCCACCAGGCCTGATCCCACAATTCCCAACACTCGTGCCCGATTCCACGTGCCGTGATCTCTGTACGGAGCAGCCACTATGTCTCCAACTATAATAGTCTCCACTCTATGCTCCTGAAGAAGAGTTATAAACTGTATAATCACTGACAACTAACAACTAACGAAATAAATGCCATTTAAATCGGAGAGTCATGGAGAGTCATGCAAAGTACCTGTGAGGAATCACCATTGTAGAAACGGCTCATTTCTGCTGTCAGTTTGTCCAGCTGTAGAGAACGGACTCCCAGGATCTGGATCCAAAAGTGCTGAGGATTCTCCGAGGCAGACACGTACACCTCCAGATGCTCATCAGGCTGGAAGCTCAGGTCTGGACTAGGAACTGATCAGAAATGAGCTATTAGATCTTCTCCAGGCTGTTTTTACCCTGTTGAATTTGATGTTTGCTCCGTTAATTATATGCTGCTTTATTTTTAGATGTTGTAATACACATGTAGCCATCTTTACTACTGATAAACTGTTAAACTTCATATGGGAATCAAGGCAGTCAGAACAGTACAGTTTCAAAGCAAGGAGAAGATCATCATTTTAAGATGGAAAAAAAAAGGCAAAACGTCAACCTAAACATTATAATAAAACAAAAACAAGCAATGAACTTAACATTATTTAATGCAAAATAAATAAGGATATTTGCAAAATCATTGTATTTTACTATAAAATCACACAAACTAACAAAAAACGTTATTGCATTTATTTCTTTATTCCAGTTTTATTTTGGCAGAGAGAGAGAGAGAGAGAGAGCCCTTAAAAGTTACTTTACAGTTTACTCTGATCAATTATGCAGTTGTATCACTGAATATGCATCAAAAGCTATTTTTAAATGGACGGTTCATCTAAAAATAAAAAAAAAGATCATATATTCAGCTTTAATGAGTCCAAACCAGATTTTCAGATTAGGCCCGTCACAATAATCAATATTTTGACTTATCCACAACACATGGACATGACCTCAATCATTTTGATGATTTTTCTGACAGATATTGCAATTTGATTTGCAATTTAATTTTGTTAAATTAAAGCTTCAGCTCAATAACCTGTAAGTTGTGGCAACAATTCTGCGACAGCTTTTAAAAATGTCCTGTTTATGTTTGGTGCCTGTGACTTTGAAACCAAAATATTCCTGTATTACAGATGTCCTGTCTTTCTTTGAAATGAATTTGACTATTAACGCTTCTGAAGCAGCAGACGCCATTATCCCAATTATCCACACTTTCCTGTTTGTTTTCTTATTTTTTTTCTTATTTCTTATTTCCGCATAGTTCGGTTGTGCAAATATGATTGGGCAGGACGAAAGTGTTCTCACTCAAATAGTAAGACTATCACACACAGATATCAGTCACGCATTTGCTCTGGGCAGGGAAAATTGAATAATCCATATATTTAATACCACAGCCTCTTGAGAATAGCTAATCACAATGTTTTAAATTGCGATTGCGTTTTGATTTCGATTAATCGCATAGCCCTACCGCCAATACATAACAGTGTTTCCTCTAGGATTTTTCCAGCTGGAAATGTCGTGAGCACAGTATTACAAGTCAAGATCGCATTTATGTAATACGAGCCTGCAAATCGTTTTGCTTGCGCGCCAATTTCCTCTGCTCGAGCACATAACTTCTTGCACACCCCCTTAAATATACACTGCTCAAGCACAGATCTTCTTGTGTGCTCTCAAATAAACGCTGCTGAAGTACGACTTAGTGCGTTTATGTAACAAGTATGTCTCCAACACTTATAAGATTTGCTAGAAATATTTATGAATTTCTCCAATAGACTTACAAAGCGGCATTAATGCGTCCTGAAGTAAAGTGAAACGGCTATAAACTCAAGCAAGATAAAGTCATTGCATGCAGAACCATAGACTTTTATCTATAAATAAAGTATAATTTTAGAAACTGTGTTCATCTTAACTGAAAGCTACGTCATGTTTGCTGCCCTCACGTACCAGTCAGTCGGCATATCACCTTAAAGGGTTAAACAAATAACGCACAACACTACTACGATTACAGAGAAGTTTGTGCTGTTATAATTCACTTACCTTTTAATGTGTTTTAGTGCAATTTATAACCCGCTATTAAAAAACAACAACAACAACGACTGAATGTTTTGAATAAGAAGCTACAATGTAGCCGTGGCGGGATGAATTTTGGTTTGGCGCCCCGGCATGGAATAATGAATGTAGCGGAAACCATGCATAAAAAAACTATTCTAGCAACAACTGACTGCTGATTGTGCAACCTCTCTATCTCTATTGGAGGTGTCAGTATGGTTAAAAAACACTATAGTATTTACTATAATTTACTATAGTATATTTTTATGTGGGTGTCTGACAACTGAAAATAGATCTGGTAGCAGATTTCGCAGCCTGTTACTTTTTACCTTGCACTTTTTGGTTAAAATGTATTATTTTTTTGGATATGCATTTTCACATTCTGATTCCAATGGCGATTTATTAAATTGTTAAAATGACTAAAATTAAATAAAATATTCTTAAGAATAAAACGTGTTCTTTGGAAGAGTGTACATAAATTGCCTTTAATTAAGTTTAATTAAATTGTCATTCCGGCGTTATTGTAACTTTGGGTGAGCACCCCAGTACACAGAAGCCTGTCCCTGCCAAGAAAGGGCGAGCTGTGAGAGAAAATTGCTTTAATTGAGAGGAAAAAAAGCAAATCTTACTTTCAAACTTGGAGATTTCCAGAGGTGAGACTGGAGAAAGAATCTCCTCGTCTTCTGATCTGAGGGAGTTTTCAGCTGTATCAGTGCTGTCCACATAGCCGTTAACAGTAACGGGCAGCTCTTGTTTAAGCTCATTCACTAGAGTAGGCAAATCTTTTCCATTAAGCTTTAATAATTCATTCTCAGGTCCTTGGGTTTCTGGAGGTTTCCTCCTCTGACGCAGAGCAGAAGCCTGGCTTATCCGCTTTCGTACTGTTTCGTTCTCGATGACCTTCTCCATGATCATCTCCTGCGAGGGAAATAAAAAACGAACCAGCTCTAACTCACTGCATAACACCTGAAAACATTTTCTATAAACTACACTAAACGATTGCTTAAAGATCACCTTAGCACTCTGAATTTCTTTGCGTGTGCCAGTAATAGTGATCTTGCCGTTCTCCTCTAAGGTGCGTCCACGATCTTTGGAGCAGTTCACTCTCGCCCCTGACACTCGGTTTATGAACTTCAATGTCTCTCCACCACGACCTGAAGTAAACATTTCAAACATATTAAAGAGATTACACGCCGACAGAATGATGTGAACCACAAATGCTCAGCAAATATGAAAACTGACCCCTTTACTTAAAGGGACTATATATGTATAATCCATTTTTTTTCTAATCAATTTGTATTTTACATATCATAGGCTTTTTTCTAATTTGTGTAAGGGTCTTTGGAAAATATGGAGAAAAATCATAAAAATCATATGAACAATTTAAAACGATAATCATTTCATCTTAAACTAAATAGTGAAATGAAAAATAAGTAAACATTAGACTAAAATAGTCATATTTAAATGATTAATGCAAAAGTTAGAGATTGAAAATTCTAAAAAAATATTTACTTGAAACCTGTTTGAGTTTATTTCCCCTTGAAAATAAAAGATGTTTCGAAAAATGTTGAAAACTGGTGGCACTGACATGCAAACTTTTTTCCTTGCTATTTATGTCAGTGGTTAACAGTTTTGAATCAGTAGGCAACTAAATTATCATTTTTGGCTGAACCAACCCTTTAAAAATAAAAATAATATGATTAAAACAAATGCAAATACAGATTATAATAAGAATAGAACACATCAAATTATAACAACAAAAATGGGATTTTAAAAAACACATAAAATAAAGAGTACTATTTATAGGAGTAGATTAGAAAATATGCAAAAGGAACTTATTAAAAACGAAATATTATACAAATAATATTTTAACACCCATTTAGAATATTATCAAAAAACTAGACAACGGTGCACGGTGGTGCAGTGGGTAGCACAATCGCCTCACAGCTAGAAGGTTGCTGGTTCAAGTCTCAGTTGGGCTAGTTGGTGTCAGTTTCCTCCGGTTTCCCCCACAGTCCAAAAACATGCAGTATAGGTGAATTGGGTAAGCTAAATTGTCTGTAGTGTATGTATGTTTCCCAGTGATGGGTTGCAGCTGGAAGGGCATCCACTGTGTAAAATATTTGCTGGATAAGTTGGGGGTTCATTCCGCTGACGTGACCCCAGAATAATAAAGGAACTATGCCGAAAAGAAAATGAATGAATGAACTACAGACAAGCCCAAAATTATTCCCAAATACTTCAGATATGGATAAAATTTAAATTGTATCCTTAAGATGGAGGTCTTTTACACAATGATGAGAATCTTTGGAATTTGTAGCATTGAAAAGATTAAAATTATTTCTCCGTATTATCATGGCATCATAATAACATCTTAATAAGCATTTTCGCTTGTCACTGAAAAGCTGACATTTGGCTGCACTAAAAACATCATATGATTTTGATATTTCCAGTAAAAAATAATTACTTATTAATAATAGCCTCTTTGAATACACCAACCTATAATTCGTCCAAAGGCTGTCTGAGGCACGTCTATGACATCAGTGATGACCTCACAGTCGGTAGCCAGTTTCTCCAGTGCACACTGAGCTATGAGAATCTGTTCTGGTGAGCCCTGGATCAGAAAATTTACCATGTTCTGCTCTTCAGTGTTCGGCAGCACATTAATCTGGGCACCAGACTTCTGATTCACCTACACAAACATCAGTTAGAAAGAGTTCAGAAACATTATATATCTTTCGACATATTAAATTTTATTGCTCAGATTTACGAACTACATTTTGCAGCTGTCACACCTACAAATATTTTATCGTAATAATTTACTATAGTACTTATTCAATAGACGCTGTGATCAGATCTTTTTGGATGTGTGATTGGATCACAATTTTTCATTATTTCAAGATTAAGATTTTGTTATTTGTTTATTTTTTTACAGATTTTTTCTTGTCATCCAAAATACGAAACACAAATTGTACACACGAATTGGGGATGGGAGGGGGGGGGGGGGTTTATAATTGTGAGTTATTAAGAAAATACTTGTATTTGGATGCATTAAATCAATCCAAAACTAAACTTTAAAGTGTCCATAATAATTACAAAAAAATCTAATCAGCATACTAGAACAAACACTGAGGATGCTAAAAAGGTATGATAATATTATGCAAAACTTTAGCTTTAAAAGTTACAAAGATAAATATATATACATACATTTGAATAATATAATAAAGTAGTGTTTCCACGATACTGAATTTTGGTAACAATTGGTACTGTAATTATAAAAACGTTAATTTCCTAACATTTAAGCGCTGTTAAGCACGTTCTACAACATAGCTGATTTACCATTGTGTTCACATGCTCAACAGAAATGACTGTGATTTGCCTTGAAGCTCATCAGTTCACCTCTGTAACACAGATACAGGGACACTGGAGTGGTTTAAAGACCGTGAAGATCAGCAGATTCATCAGCAGATCACTCATAAGTCAGCTCATAAACAGACTCAGCTGATTTAAAATGCTTCCATGTCCCTGTATCTGTTTGCAATCGGTGTAGAGCTGTAAATTGTAAAAACTGACCTTCATGGCCAATCACAGCCATTTCTGTTAAGGATGTAAACACAATGGCAAATCAGGGATGTTTAAGAACGTGCTCGACGGAATTTAAATGTTAGCGGGAAATGTTTTTAAAATTTTAGTACCAAAATTCAGAATTTTGAAAACATTAATATTTCCAGGTTAAAATATCAACATTTTACTGTAAGAATTGCAGATTTGGTATCTTTAAAGAAAAATCTTAAATGTCACATTTTTTAAAGAGTATATTGTATATAATTATATAGCCCGAGATAGAACAGAAACACAGGTGTTATAAAAAATGAAGAACAAACTCACAATGTCCAAGAAGGCGCTTTGATATCTCGCAATAGATCGATACACATCAAGGGGAACAGATATTCTGGACTCCTCTTTGCTTTGGCATTGCTCTAAAGATCCAATGGAAAGAAGAAAATTAGTGTTAGGGATGGGTAAGATTTTGCAAAATTTGCCAAAATATTTTTAACTGATAATTAAATTAAAATGATTATAATGAGTTGCTTCCAAACGCATTTACAACTAGCCCAGACGTTGATCACATTACAATCATTTCATAACTAGAATGCTATAAGAAAGAGAAAAAAATCATGTATCTTTACCTGGTCTTGGCCTATTATTTGTTTATGTCATACAGACAGTCCCATATAAGCCTTACCAATGCGGACAGTCTGAGCTGAAAGGAGCCATGATTAGTTCATCTTTCGAGTCTTCTAATTTTTGAGTCGTTCGTTCATCACGTGACAGCATGTAAAGAGAGATGACTCAAACCAAGGACTTGAAAAATTAATGGATCAAATCTTTTTCTGACTCTAAATGCAATGCAAACCCGATAGAGGACTCAAAAAAAGGAACTAATCTTCTACTCCACCTGCACAAAAGTGCTAATGTGAAAATGAACGTATCACTCCCTGAATGGACTCATCGTTATCGAGTCATATAAAAGATTTGTTTAAAAATGAACAAATTGTTTAAGAACCACCCATCACTATTGAGTGTGTGAGAGAGACCTTTGTGCACTTACCTTGATATGTTTAAGAAAATAAAACAAGGAGTTTAGCTTTCAGAACACCGTAAACAGTAAGGCATATGCTTCTTTACTCTTTAAAAACTCCATATAAAAGTCAGAAACTTTTTAGCAAAGGCCTATCTAAAGGGTTAATGGTGCCAACCGATGACTAACAGTACAAATTTAAAGTTTTTCCTCTTCCAGACATGGAAAAACACCAACAATCAAGAATGTAGAATTATTCAGTGTCATGGCTTTGCAACCAAAAAATGTCTTTATAATGGAAGTCAAGGGGGCAAAAACAGACACGAAAATAATGAAAGGGTAGTCAATTTTAACAGTACACAAGGGTTAACAAGTCTTGACTCCCATGCGGGAGCTATTGGGTACTGGATACTTTTGTTTTGTTTATTTTTTCATTTTAATCATGACCGAACTAACAAGATCTCAGATACAAGCAGCCAAAATTAGTTTCCTTCAAAAGTTGGACCCTTATGGATAGGGTGAGAAGCTCTGTCACCCGTGAGGAGCTCGGAGTACAGCCGCTGCTCCTCCACATTGAGAGAAGTCAGCTGAGGTGGCTCGAGCATCTGTTTCGGATGCCTCCTGGACGCCTACCTAGGGAGGTGACCCAGGATACGCTGGAGGGACTATGTCTCTCAGCTGGCCTGGGAACACCTCGGAATCCCCCCGAAGGAGCAGGAGGAAGAGTCGGGGTTTTCTCTTAAGACTGCTGCCCCCGCAACCCGGCCGCGGAAAAGCGGTGGAAAATGAATGAATGAAAGAATTTTATTATTTAATTTGTTGACCATAGGCTGGTTGCAGCCACTTTATTCCATGAATGATTTGGAGTTTGAGCTACTTCTATTGTGATACTGCATCCATTTCTGGCATTAACCCAAAGCACAAGCAAAGAAACCAAACACAGTTGATCATAGAGAACCCACCGCCTTCCAGTGTTTCAGAAGTGTTACACAAAAGAAGAAATGCTAACAAGTATGTGTAGCTAATGAAGACCGTTGGCTGGCATTATACACATTTGTTGCTAACCTAAGATTGCAATCACTAAAGACACATTTCAGGCAGTTCAGATTTACTTCTTTCTTTTGGAAGACAGTGAAATATCATGCACTTTGAAGTTTATAGCAGGGCTGTTATTAAAAAGCAATTAAACGTTAAAACTCACCACTGCTGTTTCGAATGTGACGATAAACAAGGTATCCAACTGTTGCTCCAACCGAGATACCAGCAGCCAACGCCACTTTCTTTCCAGAGCTCAGGGTCTTCCATGGTCCATCCTGCACCGCAGCCATCACTTGGGTGGGAGTAACCGGTAAACTCCACCTAGAGATGCAAAATAAACTGTAAGACAGGTTAACTCCCAAAGTTTAGTCTGCAGCACCATGTATGACTTTACATGGGCCATAGTGGTAGCGCCATGCAGCATGAATGAATGATTGATTGATTGATGATCACAGCAAGTATGAGTTTTCAGGTTGCCTTTCAATCTCAGAACAAACTCCAAATGTAGCCAGAAAATCTACAGAATCAACTGTTAATATTAGAGCACTCATTTATGAGATTAGTTAGCCTATTTTTGTTACCTAATTGGCTTAATAAAGAGAACAAAGATCACAAAACACTGAGACTTTAATGCCTCAGTAATTAGATTTTGGACATTACAGCCTGTGGAGAACTTTTCTGGAACATTTCATATATGATCCAACTATATTAAATTACATGTTAAAGTTCAAGCACAATAGAAGACCACAATAATGCACTCCCAATAGTGGCAGAAAATCAAATCTCTAAACAAATCATTTGTATTTTTCGTCAGGTTTTAGGGACAATCGCACCAGCTGAAGGATAAAGCAGAGCTTCAGCGCAGTATTGATGTAGGGCGTTCATGTTGCAAACACACACACAGCAGCAACACCATGCAGAATGACTCTCACTGTGAAAACAGGGCAGTGGGACTGTAGTTCAGAAACACACGGGATTTAGGGACTGCCACATCCATCTCAGACCCTCAAACTGCCTGTTCTGCCACTCTTTCACAGGAGGAACAGGTAAAAGAGTGAAATATGATTAAACACCAGCTGAATGCACTGCCTGAGCACCTCTCTTGAGGTACTTAATAAGTGACACTAATAGGTTAATAATGCATCATATTTTCATATCATATTGTATAAAACACAGCAAATGCACACTGTTTAGGCCAATTCACACCTCTGACATACACAAGCCATCACCATATTACTGCATGTCAGGTGTCAATTCAGCATGTTCCATCGGCAAAAATAAGCTCAGACATATGCCAACAGACACCGATAAATTATAAGTGTCTGTTGTTGTCTGATGATGCGGTGTGAATCAACCTTTAGGTATTTTTCATTTTATTTAAACCCATGTCAATGTATATTTGCAATTTTATCTGTAAAATAAGAGAGTTTTCCAGAAAACTGATTAGTTAAAACAAAAAAGAATTAATAAAAAAAGAAAAAAAAACATGTTATTGTATATGTTATTGTAAATTAACTTGTTAAAATAAGATTTCAGTAAATGAACTAAAGCTAAAACCTAATAAAATCGATTAAACGTAAAAAGGGAGCATTTGCACAACCCAAATTTTTGTTATATTGCAACATATTGTACATTAAATGATCATCTAAATCAGGGATTCCCAAACTTTTCAGCCCACAGCCCCCAAAATAACAATGCCAGCGACTCGCGACCCCCAATATCCTCTGAGGTGGTTATAAATACAGAAACCTTGCATGCAATGGTGCACACACACACACACACACACACACACACACACACACACACACACACACACACACACACACACACACACACACACACACACACACACACACACACACACACACCAATAGACCCAAGTCTATTCTGCATTTGTTTTTTTGTTTTTATGTATGTCAGTGCTGTAAATGTGCCAGAGAGATAACCTGGAGTTATAAAATCAATCTGCTGCATCTGAAGCTATTGCTGTGTCTTTAACATAATGTATTTACCCCAGGGGTCGCAATCCAATAGAACTAGTAACTATAAGCGACTATTTTTTCATTTCTGTAGGTTATGGATAAAATATGGTCATTCTTATGGTTTAATAAAAATAAATAGATTTTTGGAAATCACCAGGCGACCCCCTTCAATGTCACGCGACCCCCACTTTGAGAACCACTGATATAAATGACACTATTATATTAGTACTTTTACAATTATAAATTATACAGTATAACATTTCAAAAAGCTTGTGAGGCAAAAAATAAATCCAAAAACTGCTCCATCTGCACATTTAAAATCCATCAGTAATCTATAAATGAGCAATTCTATGCAAATGTCAACCATATCCTGAAAAGAGTTAAGTTTTTTTCCAATATCCTTTTTTGTGTAGGCTTGTATTTTACAGTACCTCAAAAATGTCCGTCAATGTTTTCAAACAATTATATTCAATTTACCAAATTTCACATCCATCACATCCATAATGGAAAGATGTCTCATCCATAACGAAGCTTTTCACTCATAAATGCAAAAAAGTTAAATAAAACAAAATAATTTTTGTTCTATTGAGAGACAACTTTTATCCTTTTGATTATCATTGTTTCTTTTTTAATTGAGTAGATAAATTTACAGAATTTCTACAAAGCATGTTGTGTACTGTAAACTCGCAAACTTTTTTGCCACATCCATAACGCATGGTTATTATACTCATTTAAAATATAAATTATGTTTAGAGATTGACATTTTCCCTTAACTCTGTGGTTACTAATTTTGGAAGATATAAACTGATGTCTCAATATAATGTTGATGTATACTTTCTCTGTTCATTTATGTTTTAAGTTTTAGGGCAAATGTCATCCATTTGAGTTGTTCAAATATAACTTCTTGTCATGGAGACCCACAAAAACACAACTCCTCAGATTTGGGTGGGATTAGAAGGTTTACTAACAGATTGATGTAGGCCAAACTATACTTTATTTGCATGTACTGTAGAACTCCTTTCACTGTAAACACTCCTAGCATGTCCAAACACAAAAGAAGATTACAATGGTCAAGTATTATTCACATATATTAGCTTGGTCTAAATTTACTTACCATAAGTTTTTACTTTTGCTTTGTGAAGCTGTAGTTTTATCATAGCATTGTAATCAGATTTATGCACATTATAGCGTTAAAACACGACCTGTTATGCATGAAGATCGTGCACGTGACTCTGCGTGTTTGTAATTGTCAATGCTGCGTCTGTTAGCTCGTGATGGATGTCATGTCACACAAACAGGGTGCGGTGGATTTCTTGCATTTAACAACAAACTGTCCCGTGTTTTGCAGCTATAAATGTCATTAAAACGACCTGTTAAAGGTTTGTTTGGCTGGGTCATCATGCCTTTGCAACATCGCTTGGGCTTTTTAACCTGACGGCTAACGTACAAACACAAAAGCTAGATACAGCTCTAAATCAGGCATTCCAACATATTTACCTATAAAACGTTGTGAAATGTGAGGTAACCCACGAAGAGAGTCCTTCAAATGATCTTATGACACCAGTCAATGTGCTGCTGCTCCACCGGCGGCGGTGCCGTAGTACTTCATCGTGCAGTACGCAGTGTGCACCGTTAGCCTTTCATCTCTGATTGGCCAAAATCCTGCATGTCAGCCACAAGATCCAATCACAGACTTCAATGTTGCGGCACGGTTTCAGTGCGGCAACGCCCTCTGTTGGACGATAACAGCAAAACAGCATAGATATGTACATCTATGGCAAAACAGTATCATCATCATCATATAAAGCTTTCTATTATAACTATGTCTGGGATATTCATACCTTCCTGACAGGTGAACGAGGAACAATTAAAGTGGTTCAGTTCAAACAAAGACATTTTTGAAAATTAAATACGTAAAGTAAAATATGAAAATAAATGACTAAACGTGGCTATTTTTCGAAGATTTGTAAACTTTTTCCAGTAAATATATGTGTTTTTGTGGAGTTGTAGGCCTGCATGGTACTTGAACAATATATATATATATATATATATATATATATATATATATATATATATATATATATATATATATATATATATATATATATACACACAAACACACACACACACACACACACACACACTATACAAACTGCAGGGTTTTTTTGGTAACCCAGCGCTGGGTAAAAATGGGACAAACCCAACGCTGGGTTACTTAAACTCAACAAGTTGGGTTACATGTTTAACCCAGCATGCTGGGTTGTGATTTTACCACAACTATTAGTTAAAATTACTACACTGCTGGGTTGAATGTAACTGGAGTGAATGAATGAAACTGGTGATTAAAATCACTAAAATAAAAACAATTCTACAGCAATACATAGTTGTTCAGTAATGGAATTTTATTTATCACAAAAGATAAAACGTGTCCAATTGAAATTAAGATATTTTTCCCATCTGCGCCTTAGCATTAACCCTTTGACTGCCTGCTCTACCATGTTTGTACTGTTTTAAAAAATGACTGTTAAAGTCATAAAAAAATAAAGATGATTTAGTGTCCAAAATACTTATTTAATTTTTTTTATATATAAATTGGTCTTACACTTCATTTTTCAGACTTTTCATAGCAGATGTAATTCTGGTACTTTTACCATAAACACGCATCTCAATCATTTGGTAGAGTTGATATTTTAGAAATTATAGCATGTGTTAAAAATTTACTGATTGTGTTAAATAGCGACATTAGGAGTTGAGAAATGCAATCCATTTTTTCTTGGAAGGGTAGTTAAAGGGTTAAGACAATTTCTATGAAAATTTATCAAACTGTACCACAGAAACACTGACTAAAGTCAGTAGCAACGCATCAGACTGAAGTCAGACAAATTATCTTAAGAAAATGCCTATTTTTAATACATTCAAAAACATTTGCATCATGTATAAATCAGGAATCATCAGTAAGAATCAATTGCAATGTTATTGCAGAGGAGAGAAAAACAAAGTATGAAGAAGTAATAATGAAAATGCATCTAAATGACTGAAGTCAGAAAGTAACTTCAAAATACAAATTTGAGCACAAACATCAACATAGTCTCATATCATATAAATCATCAACTGCAATGTAGAAAAAAATATGTGAGAGTATTAATGAAAAGGCATCAAACAGACTGAAAAAAACAAAACAAACAATAAAAACTAAGAAAATACAAATTTAATATTAAGAAAAATTAAGAAAACATTTTATAACTTTCCCTTTAACAATTATGTGCAAACATCAATATATAAGATATAAAGCAATCATCAGTAAGGATGATCAAGTTCAATGTAAACGCAGTTTGTAAGAAAAAACAGATATAAAAGTAAAAATGAAACCTGAGGATGGAAGCATTTAAAAACAAATTTAAAACAGCAAAACATTTCAAAACTTTTACTTGAACAATCATGTACAAACATCAATCCTGAGATTTAAGAGTCTGTAAGAAACATTAGTTGCAATGTAACTGCAGTGTAAAGAGTCTTAAAAAATATCTAGTCTATTATTATGTGCCGCCATCATGGCAAAGAGAAAAGAAATCAGTTATTAGAAATGAGTTATTAAAACTATTCTTTAGAAATGGGTTTCATGGTGGCACAGTGTTTAGCACGATTGCCTCACAGCAACAAGGTCGGTGGTTTAAGCCTCAGCTGGGTCAGTTGGTGTTTCTGTTTGGAGTTTGCATGTTCTCCCAGTGTTCGCGTGGGTTTTCTCCGGGTGCTCCTTTTCCCCCACAGTCCAAAGTACAAGTTGAAGAACACAGAATCCAAGGAAGCAGTGAGGTCACAGTATTAATGATTACTGTTTGTCAGCAAAAATTAATGCTAGCAGAACCCTTACTGCTAGTGTCTCCTCCCCAGGATGTACAAAAACCATAGTCTGCCACACCAGGGAACACTGCTTGGGGTAGTTCACACCAAAGATGTAGAATGCTTTAAAGCAAACGTCCACTTTAGCAAGTAATTTACTTTGCAATAATAAATGGCACAGCACGTAAGCAAAGGCTTGAAAGAAGTGGTGGTCTCCAAGCACGAGAACATGAGGAAACTCAATAGATTCTTGAATTCAATGGACGAAGATACTCAGCAATATTGGTCCCAATCTGAAAAAAAAAAAATAGAATTAATCAAGATTCATTAAAAATTAAAAAGTGTTAAAGTTAAATATCTTTAGAGTTAACTTTAGAATCCCTAAAATACCTTTAGAAGCAATTAAGGCCATAACACACCAAGCTATCAGCCAGTGTTGGCATTAGTTAACCACTGACCGTGGCACTATGCTGCAACTGTTTGGCCCAAGTGAAGATGACTTAATGCAACAACAGGGTTGCCTAAGGAACTTTTTTTAATAAGTAATAGTAAGGCAAGATGAGCATTTGAAATGATTAAGTATTTTAATTGTGTTTTCTGAATGAAAACAGATAAGACCCTTCTTCCTCAGCTGGGACCGTTTGCAACCACATTTGGAATCATTTGAAGCCAAATTTAAATTTTCTTTAGAAAGTTCAAAAATGAGGCACAATCTCAGTCCATGAAGATGGAGAAAAATGCTGAAATATTTTCCTATATAAAAAAAAACAATTTCTTTCTGATTGAAGAAAGAAAGAGAGGAACATCTTGGGTGACAAGGAGGTGAGTACATTATGTGTGAATCTTTTTGTTGGAAGTGGACTTCTCCTTTGGTGGAAATAATTGGCTTACAGGCCATATAGAGTTTGTTGCATTCACTATCTATATAAAGCATCTTATCACTAAAAATTTGAGAAACCATAGCTGTGACCAAATCACAACTTTCACAAAACCATCATATTTTTATGTTTTACCCAGCAGATGCCCTTCCAGCTGCAACCCATCACCAGGCAACAACCATACACTCTCATTCACACACACACTATGGACAATTTAGCTTACCCAATTCACCTACACCGCATGTCATTGGACTGTGGGGGAGGACCCATCCGAGGCTCGAACCAGCGACCTTCTTGCTGTGAGGCGACAGCACTACCCACTGTGCCCCATGCCACCCTAATAACAAACATAAAAATAAGATTTTCATAGTTAATAAAATAACTGTAAGACGAGCATTATGCATTAAATGCATCATTATGCATCAAGAAACCTTTAATTGAATTGTTACCCTCTGAATTGTGTTCAAATTGACCTAAAAACGAGGAAAGGTTCGCTCCTGTGCTAAAAATAAAACAAGAGAATGCCACTGGTTGCATGAACAGCACATTTTAAAAGTTAACCAGACAAAGACAAATTTGTATTTAATCTCTCAGTTTAAAGTGCTGAAGTGGCTAATGATTACTAGGGATGCCCCCTAATAATTGAATAACCATTAGTCAACCAAAATGTACTATTCATTCATTCATTTTCTTTTCGGCTTAGTCCCTTTATTAATCTGGGGTCACCACAATGGAATGAACCACCAACATATCCAGCATAAAATTAACGCAGCGGATGCCCTTCCAGCTGCAACCCATCACTGGGAAACAATCACTCATTCACACACATACACAATTTATCCTACCCAATTCAATTTACCACATGTCTTTCGAAACCGGGGCACCCGGAGGAAACCCACGCGAACAAGGGGAGAACATGCAAACTCCACACAGAAACGCCTATTGACCCAGCCAAGGATCGATCCAGCGGCCTTGTTGCTGTGAGGCGAACGTGCTACCCACTGCGTCACCATGCACCCCAAAATTTATTAGTTGCAGAAAAAAAAGTCCACTCAGGCGAAGTCAATGTATGCTGCATGTTTCCGCTGCGTAAAAAATATGCTGAATAAGTTGGCGGTTCATTCCGCTGTGGCGACCCCAGATTAATAAAGGGACTAAGCCAAAAAGAAAATGAATGAACGAATAAATGGTTTATTAATAAATCAGTAATTATTTAACTAATGCTTCAAATGAACATCACAAGTCAACCAGCCAAACATTTAGACAAGGGCAGCCCTATGATTACAATGAACCAAGTAAAATATTATTACATACCTTTAAATGTGGGGATTAACTCTTCAAGATTCCATTCTTTTAGTTTGGTTTTCACACATTTATCCATCTGAAAAAGAATAACAGATAAAAGCATTTAAGCAAAATTAAGTTAAAAAAAAGATCATGTTAGCCAAAAGTCACTTTATCACAAAAATACTACTAAATGATCATAATTATCCAGGGTGTCACATAAAATGGTGGTCAAATTTTTTCTTTATGCAGTCGAAGATTAGGTTGGAATTAGCCTTAGCTAAGACATTCCTGTCTCCATGAAACGAACCATACATACAGGATTAATTAAAGATAGCTCAAATCACGTCTAGAATGTAAAAATGCTCATAGTAAATTAATAACATTTGCTATTCAATGTACAGCTAAACAAAATGTACATGCAGCAGGACATTTATTGTATATATACTGACCAAAAAAACATTGTTAGAGAAGCGTAATTCAACACTCTTATGCATCAAAGTATTGTCACAAAAATCCATGAACAAATTTAAGAAATACAACAGAAAAATACTACTTACTGTTTTACAGTTAACACCCTAGAAAGATCACATCACAGTACTTGCTGTCATTCCCTAGC